GAAGAAGGTATCTTGTTTACAAATTCCGCCCAGAGAGAACTGGTTTCAATATGTACGCAGAGTATACGCAACTGCCATTAACTTTCCTTGCATTATAACCTTGGACTAACCTATAGTATATCATTATTAGTAAACAGTTGTATAAGTGTACTGTTCAGCTAGCTGAGCACACAGTTAAATAACCATCATCCAGGGAATAGGAATAAAGAGAAAGGAATGGAAATATTCCTTTTCTGTCTGAATATTGACAAATTTCAATGCTGGGTTATCTTCAAAGACGAATAGTGAAGTTATGCAACACAGACAAGAAAGGAAATGAACAACGTCAATAATTTACTCGATTGAAAGAAGTAACGCTTAAAATCTGCTACTGTCCCTTTTAAATCAAATTTTCTAACTAAACGCTCACCGGACAATATAGAGTCCATAAAGGAGTTTTTGCCACAAACTTGAATTTTAGAATCCATATATCTTTGCAACTTGACGGTGTAAACCTTTGATATTTTAAAGTAGACTTATATTTGATCTTACAGAATTCATACTTTAAAATATCAAAGGCTTCATCAGGTTAAGATATAGGGTGTTACAAAAACTTTTTTTTCTTTCTGAAAAGTAGATTTTTTTCATTATTTATCATTTGTATACACTTGTCTATATCCGCAGGTGAAAATGTTCTCCAAAAGCTAATAGAAATCAAAAACCTCTCTAAATTATTTATGAAAATTTGAAATCCAAAATTTTGTAAAATTCTACCGGAGACAATCACTCAAAACTCTGATGGTTCATTTCAAGTACCGCCCCGAATTCATAAGCAACTAGAGCAAACTGTACAGTACACATATAGACTTTACAAGGCAAAACGGGACGGTACATTTCAAGTACCGGCCCTTCTTTATAAGCGGCTAGAGCAAACTGTACAGTACACATATAGACTATACAAGGCAAAACGGGACCGTACATTTCAAGTACCGGCCCTTCTTTATAAGCGGCTAGAGCAAACTGTACAGTACACATATAGACTATACAAGGCAAAACGGGACCGTACATTTCAAGTACCGGCCCTTCTTTATAAGCGGCTAGAGCACACTGTACAGTACACATATAGACTATACAAGGCAAAACGGGACGGTACACATATATTCTATACAAGGCAAAACTGGACGGTACACATGTCATATAGACTATACAAGGCAAAACGGGACGGTACACATGTCATATAGACTATACAAGGCAAAACGGGACGGTACACATGTCATATAGACTATACAAGGCAAAACGGGACGGTACAGCAAATGAATTAGCCCCATCTAGTGAGACTAAATATAGTGCATTACAAAAACGCATGAATAAAAAGAATAAATAATGTAATGTAATCAGTTTTGTAAAATTCTCCTTAAAACTTTAAGATTAGCATTTTTGTATCTCATATTATTAAAATTGAGTATTCATGTGAATGTTTAGAAATCTGAAAAATTCAAAATTTCTTTCAACTCGGGATTCTAATTTCATCCCTGAAGGATTTAATATAGAAATTTAAAGTACGAATGTGATATTAAAGGGACTAAAGACATAATTTCAAGTGACAACACGATTAAAAAGTGGCATCACTGATTAAAGTGTTAATTTTACTTTACAAATAAAAATATAATTTTTCCTATGAGTGCACCCAAATTCATCGCCTTCTATTGAATCCCTGCAAACATATTAAACTTTTATTAATCAATTAATCAATTCATCAACTAATCAACTAATGAACTAATCAACTTATCAACTAATCAACTAATCAACTAATCAACTAATCAACTAATCAACTAATCAACTTATCATTGATTAATCAATCAATTAATCAATTAACCGACTAATTAGCTAATCAATTAATAACTAATAAATTAATCAATCTATCAACTAATCAACTAATCAGCTAATCAACTAATCAACTAATCAGCTAATCAACTAATCAACTAATCAAATACTCAACTAATCATAAAATGACCTGATCTGTAGTGGAGAAAATGATATACGAGGAGAATCAACACTAATTTATTTCACAAGTAATTTATAAATTCAATCATTCAAAAACATCTACTAAGATCTATTATGCAAAACAATAACTTGTTTGTATTCTCATTGATCCAGTGGGACCATTATTTCAGGAATTAAAAGATGATAATTAAGTAATGTTATATTTGATGTTAATACAGAGCAAATAGGTTTACCAGTAGCCTAAAAAATCAACATATTTACGATGGACTAGAGTCAATTTGAATTCAAACCGGCCCAACCCGTTGTACCAGCCCGACCCCTTGTACCAGCCTGACCCCTTGTACCGGCCCGACCCCTTGTACAGGCCCGACCCCTTGTACCAGCCTTAGTGATGCGCAGCATTTCTGGCCAGACTCCTTGTACGGGCCTTAGTGACAGGCAGCATTTACTGGCCCGACCCCTTGTACCAGCCTTAGTGACGCGCAGCATTTACTGGCCCGACCCCTTGTACAGGCCTTAGTGATGCGCAGCATTTACTGGCTCAACCCCTTGTACCAGCCTTAGTAACGCGCAGCATTTACGGGCTCGACCCTATCCTATTTCGGTCAGGTTTCACCTTTGATGGTGCGGCCAGACTTTTTACAGTATTTGGCTTATCATAAACCTATTTGACTTTCCATGCTAGCTTAGCTTTGACAAATTATAGGGTTTTTTTTCAGAGGACAGGGAAGGTGAATGAAAGGATGAATAGATGAATGAATGAATGAATGAATGAATGAATGAATGAATGAATGGTTAGCTTGTATTCCTAATCTGTGGAGAAAGACCAAGCTGTGGAGAGTCTGAACTTAGCTGAGGAGAAGAGAAGGAACTTTGTCCAGACCTAATCAATCAATCAATCAATCCATATATTATGATATTAAACAGTCAATCATGGAATATATCAAGTCAATCAATAATAAACAAGCTAAATCAATCAATTAATCAAATTAGTTAATACCCTGATCAAGGTAATCAAACAATTGATCAAATTATTTTAGCAATTCATTAAATTAACCAAATATTAATCAAATTGATCAATAATTTAATTAAATTTTTCTCTTAATTAATCAAGTTAATCAATTAAATAATCAAATTGATTAAGCATTTTAAATAACATTATTAAGTCAATTAATTAATTTAATCAATTAAATAATGAAATTGATTAATCATTTTAAATAACATTATTAAGTCAATTAATCAATGTAATCAATTAAACAATGAAATTGATTAATCATTTTAAATAACATTGTTAAATCAATTAATTAATTAATCAATTAAATAATCAAAGTGATTAATAATTTTAGATTAAATTATTATCTTAATTAATCAAGTTAATCAATTAAATAATCATATTGATTAATCATTTAAAATTAAATTATTATCTTAATTAATCAAGTCAATCAATTAGGTAATCAGACTTTTAAATCATTCAATTACTTAATCAATTGTTCAAGCTAATCAATCAATTTACCAAATTGATTACAAAATGATTTATCGATTTATCTATACTAAAAAAAGTTTGATGAATCAAATAATTACTGATCGATTAATAGATATCTTTACATCAATTACTCTGTCAATATATCAATTGATCTTATTGAATCAATTTCTTAAACCATCATGACTAACCAATGCGTTAAGAATATTTGCAAATTTGAATTGAATTAGGAAATACAAGGTTTAGGATAAAGTACAAGATGAATTATAAATGAACTTCTGCACCAGATGAAACAGAGGTTATAACTTTTGGTTGGCTTAGCACTAGGCTTTAATCTGAGGTCAGAAATTATGGTTGGTTTAGCACTAAGCTTCAATCTGAGTTAGGAAATTTTGGTTGGTTTAGCACTAGGCTTTAATCTGAGGTCGGAATTTTTGGTTGGTAAAGCACTAAACTTTAATCTGAGGTCAGAAATTTTGGTTGGTTTAGCACTTAATTCAATCTGAGGTAGGAAATTTTGGTTGGTTTAGCGATAAACTTTGATCTGAAGTCTGAAATTTTGGTTTGTAAAGCACTAAGCTTTAATCTAAGGTCGGAAATTTTGGTTGGTTTAGCACTAGGCTTTAATCTTAGGTAGGAAATTTTGGTTAGTTTAGCAATAAACTTTAATCTGAGGTCAGAAATTTTGGTTAGTTTAGCACTAGGCTTTGATCTGAGGTAGGAAATTTTGGTTGGTTTAGCACTAGGCTTTAATCTGAGGAAGGAAATTTTGGTTGGTTTAGCACTAGGCTTTAATCTGAGGTCAGAAATTTTGGTTGGTTTAGTACTAGGCTTTAATCTCAGGTAGGAAATTTTGGTTGATTTAGCACTAAGGTTAATTTGAGTGACTAAACTACATAAATATCTAAATATTTAAAAAAGAAAGTTTAATCTAAATGGTTTATCTCCTTTAAGCCCTGGAACCACCTGGCCAATAAGATATTGAAGAATATGCAAACCAATGAGAGCTAAAAATAATTTCACAGGACAAACGAGTTAATTGAACAAAACAAATGGAATGTGAAAGATGATTTTAAAAACAAAAGAATTTCAAATGTTTTCTGAATTACTCAACAAAACGAACCAATATTGAGCAAATAAACAAAAAAACGCACACAACCATCTCTAATGAGAACCATTACATTTGATGTGTCTGACCAATGAGCGGTTTTATGTTTTCTGATTGGTATACCTATTTAATATCATAACTTTAATTACTTTTGATATTCAAAAGTTCCAACCTCTGGTTGAGCTGATTGAAGGTTAAATCAATCTATGGATTAATGATTAATTAGCTTTTTACTCTAAACCATTAATTTGATTTCAATCGATGCGACATAAGTGTTGCATGGAAAAAACAGAATAAAATCCCATATTTTTTATTTTCTATCTATGTTGGCAACCATGATAAATATTTTTATTTAAAGATTTGATTTACCACCCAACTGAAATTCACAGATTTTCACAAATTTATGGATTGAAAGAAGAAAAAAAATGTTTTCAATAATTTTAGACAACCTCCGCAGTAGAGGAATTTTTCAATGATTCAATTCATTATTGTTTCAGAAGAATTACACATCTTTGTTTACAGTTTAGCGCTTATTTTTAGGATTCATCTCTAATTGGATGATGAGATAGAGTGTGCAGAAAAGTTAAAACAAGCGTAAATTAGGGGTTTTATGCTTGCAAGAGAAAAATAAGAAAATCTCAGGAGAACTCTTTGTAGGCAAATTATCAAAGTTCACGAAACCTCGACATTGACCTAGACAACATCTCTGGACGTATGTGCTCACTTGGATGCCAGACAATAAAGGTATTTTTTTATCAACACACCTGAATATGAATTGGTCACATTCTTCTCCTGGTTGTGGAAGACGACAAGGAACCTAAAAATCTTAATTGAAAAAAATATTTTTAATTCTTTTTATCTTTTTATTATTTATAAAAAGGTTTTATATACTCTCATTTAAAACACAAATATTGAGAACAAATTAAAGAAAAACAATTATTTCAGAAAGTGGAAATCTTGAAATCATCATATTTTTAGTAGGAAGAAATCATGGACATTTTCTTTCTAGTGTTTGCTTTAAAAATCCAAACATCATTGTGCTCAATATCAAAACACGTTTGAAAAAAAAATTTCAGAAATTTCACAAGGAACACAAGGAACACAAGGAACACAAGGAACAAAAGGCAAAGCTCATAATCTAATTCTCAGTAAGGATAAACGGCGGGTCGAGTAACTTTGACTGTAAAAAATATATTAAACCCTGGCAACCACGGGCACTCAGCACAGCTATCAAATAATAGTTCACCTGTTCCAGTTCTTCATCTAGGCGGGAGAGAGAGTCTGTAGTTTTCAATTCACGTTCCTAGATGGGGTTAGTTGTATAAGTAATTCACGTTCCTAGATGTGGTTAGTTGTATAAGTAATTCACGTTCCTAGATGGGGTTAGTTGTATAAGTA